CATTGCTTGTAATGTCCTTCTTTCAAACCAAGATTTGTTTCTTAACTTTTGTTTAGGCAAAAAGTTGATGTAAGTAAGTCGAGCATGTCCAGCTTCTTCGTAAAGATATAACATTTGATTTTTCGAAATTTGATTTATATTATGTCCTGCAAGTTAAAAAAATATAGAAAATACCATTCACAGTGTAAGAAAAAAAAAGACCCATGTGGACATCGAACCTTCGTGTTAATTAGCACTACGCTTTTTTTCTTTTAATCTGAAGACCAACAATTCCGATTTTTCTTTTGAAATGTTTGGGTTGAGTATTTGACTCATTTTCATTGACAAAAGGGAGTACTTCTAGAAATTTCTGCAAAATCACTGTCTCTAACGCTTGTATTTAATTCTTTTGTGATAATCACCCCAACTCATTTGATGTTTCTCGTTCTTAAATTATCCTCCGATTTTCCCTCTCCTTTTCTTTTTCGAATTTCCATTGTCTGTTTCGCTTTCCTGGACCATTTCGAAATTTTTTTTCTCAGATTCGACCATTCCGGTTTCCCCTTGTCAGGTCCACCGTTCCGGTTTCCCCTTTTCGACTTTCCTTATCGAATTTTCGTTCTCGACTCTCTTTCTCAAATTCTCCTTTTCTACTCTGTTTCTTGAATTCTTTTTCGCGAATTCTTTATTTTGGCTCTCCTCGGCATTCTGTATCTTAGATTCTCCTCTTTTGACTGATCTTCTCGGGATTCCTCTTCTCTAGACTTATCTTTTCGGGATTCTCCTCAGGATTCTTGCTGGCTGCCTCCTGCCGATTTCCTTTATTGAATTCCTTTTTTTCACGATTCCTCCTTGGGATAGACTTTCTCGGGTTCTCTTTCTCTGGATTTTACTTCTCCGGCATCTTCTCAGGTTCACCATTCCGGTTCCTCCTCGACTACCCTTTCTCGTATGTTCTTCCTCCTCAGACATTCCTTTTTGAATTACCTTTCCGGAGATTCCCTTCCTCGGAATTCTCCTTCCGGAAATGCTCTTTCTCAGAATTCTCTTTTTCCAGTGCTATGTCTTGGATTTTCATTTTTTGGCTCTTCTTCTCGGATGGTTCTTCTCTGATTCTCTTTATCGGATTTCTCTTGTCGGTGTACCCTTGTCGGATTCTTCTTGTTGGATTCCCCTTGTCCGATTCCACTCCTAGAATTGCGCTTCCTCAGATTCTTCTCGGGTTTCTCCCCCGGTTCTCCTTCTCGGTTTCTCGTTCCAAGATTTTCGTTCTCGCATTCTCCTTTTCAGATTCCCCTTCTTGGCTGCCTTTTCACAATTCCCTTTCTTGAATTCCTTATTTTACGACCCATTTTCACGACTTTTTTTCTTGAATTCTTCTCGGATTATTCTTCTTGAGATAGACTTTCTCGGGATTCCCCTTCTCTAGATTCTCTTTCTCTAGACTCCCCTTCTCGGACGTTTTCTTCTCAGGTTCACTTTTCCGGTTACTCCTTCTCGCCTCCCCTTTCTCGGATTTTCTCGGGATTCTCCTTCTCGACGTTTTCTTTCTCAAATTCTGTATTTTGGATTCTCGTTTTTTTGGTTCTTATTCTGGGACTGTCCTTCTAGGATTTTTTGGATGCTTCTTCTCTGATTCTCTTTGCTGGATTTCCTTCGCTGGATTCCCCTTCTTGGATTTCACTTTCAGGATTATTCAGCTTCTCTGACTCTCCTTTCCAGGTTTCCCGTCTTGGATTCCTTTTTTCAGGATTCTCCCCTGATTCTTCTTGGTTTCTCGTTCCAGGCTTTCATTTCTTGACTTCTTTTTTCATGATTACCGTTTTCGTGATTTTCTTCTCCGATTTATTATCCTTCTTGAGACAAATTTTATCGGGATTCACTTCTCTCTCGGGATTCTCTCTTTGTCAGAATTTTTTCTCGGGATTCCCTCTTTGAGGGCTCCCGTTCTAGGAATTTCCTTTATCGGAATTCCTTTTCTCTGAAACCTTTTCTGATTCCCTTTCTCCGAATTCCCTTTTTCGGGGTTATCGTTATAGGAATTTCCTTTCTCGAAATTCTTTTTGTCGGGATTGACTTTTCCGTTGATTCCCTTTCTCACAATTTCCTTTCTCGGGATTCCTTTTGCTCGGAATTCTTTTTTTTTGGATTCCCTCTGTCGAGAATCTTTTTCTATTGATTCTCTCTCTTCGGATTCCTTTTGTATTGATTTTCGGGGTTCCCGTTCTGGAAATTTTCTTTTTCAGAATTTCTTTTTTAGGGGTTCTCGTCCTAAGAATTCCTTTTCTCGGGATCCTTTTTCTCGCAATTTCCTTTCTTGAGATTCCTTTTGCTCAGAATTCCTTTTCTGGGGATTCCCTTTTTTGGATTCATTCTCTCGGGAATCCTTGTCTGTGGATTCCCTCTGTTCGGATTCTTTTTTTCGAGAATTCCTTTTTCGAAATTCCCCTTTTCTGGATTCCCTTTCTCCGGAATCCTTTTCTATCGATTCCCTCTCTTCGGATTCCCTTTTTCGGGGTTCCCGTTTTAGGAATTTTTTATCGGAATTGCTTTTCTCGGGATTCCCTTCTTCGAGTTTCTCGTTCTGGAAATTCTCTTTCTTGGAATTTCCTTTTTCAGAGTTCCAAATCTAAGAATTTCTTCTCGCGGGATTATTTTTTTCACGATTCTCATTCTTGGGATCCCCTTTTTCGGGATTCGTTTTCTCGGAATTCCCTCTTTCGAGAATCACTTTGTAATGATTCTCTCTTTCGGGCTTCATCTTTCGAGATGCCCGTTCTAGGAATTTTCTTTCCTGGGTTTTTTTCCATCTCATTCTAGGCGGATTCATAAATTATAAGTATATTTTAATAATGTTTATAATCATTAAAAATTTGTACGTTTTTTTAGTTTGGTTCTGAAGATAAATTACAAAAAGTAAACGACAATATTTAAAAAAAAATCAAATATATACTAAACTCACTTGACATACACCTTGTAAAACTTTTATTACTTAAACGGCTTAAGCCAAAGCACCCTTATAAATCAAACTGACTATTGTAAGCTTTATGGACTCGAACCGCAGGGATTATTACTGTACATTGTTGACATAATAGAGCTGTAAAGTTTTACTAGGTATATGTGAACTGAATTAAGTTATAAAAGTTTTACAAGGTGTATGTCAAGTGAGTTTAATATACCTACATTTGAACACCACTTTTGAATGATTACATTTTTTTCTCTGATATCATTAAATTTACTTCAAGAATCTATAGGTATTTTTGTTATAACTACTTTAATTTTTCACGTCTGATTAAATTGTATCTTAAATTTGGTTACATTGTGAGTATAAAAATTTTTACCTAAATTATGTAATACTTCATAACGTCAGAATATCTATTTCGTAAATGCGAGAATCCGTCTTTTTAACATTTGTTTCGAATATAAATTCAAAAAAATATGCCAATTTTAACTAAAAAGAAGTGTTTATTAAAGAACTCAGTAGATGTTTATTCTTTATACGAAGTTTTTTATTTTGAACGTAACTTACAAAAAGGAAGCAGCAACACTTCTCAAAAATTTTGAATATTTGTGTATCATTCCATTTTATGAAGTCAGACATTAATCCTATCTACTTTTTCATGTATCTTAAGCACGATTTTAGCTTTCACAATTTTTTTTTCCAAAGCGTAAGCTAGGAAAATATTGTGATAGGCTCCATATGATGAGTTGCTAATTCCATGTCTTCTCTGCGTTTCATAGCTCCTAGACTATGAGAAAGTAGGTCCCTCGTTCCCGTCTGCATCTTATATGGTGACGCTGTTTTGTAGTGTTTTTATAAACAATTAGGATTTTAATATTTTACAGATTGTTAAAGACAACAGTGGGAGATATTCAAATAAATTGTTCAAAATAATTTAAACAATCCGAAATACGTATAGTTATCTTGATAGAATGACATTCATTTCTAATTGCTTGAAAAAACGACTTCCCCAGCAGAACTAAGCTATGTATGCACTATTATTTTATGAAATCTTTAGAATGTTTTTCAGATAAATATTAATGGCACGTGCTTTTATAAATGCAGAGTCCATGTTCAATGGAATTTAAAAAATGTTCAAAGACAGGAAGTAGTTATCCAAGAAGTCCAGATGTTACAAGAATTTTAAAACGGTTCTTTATTGTTAACACAAGGAACATGCTGTGAAATCTAAAGGAATACTAAAATTTAATTTGGCAGTTATAATTTCCTGTTGATGTCGAGATACAAACACATAATATACAGGATGTTCTATCTCAAGCGATCTATTCTGTTAAAACTAGTTCAAAATTTCTACCAATGTAAGAAATAAATAATATCGTAAAATGGATCGTAGTCAAATTTATAATTTACAAAATATTCTAGATCGTTTACACAACAAGGATCGATGTCTCGCTGTACATAAGTGATTTTCTATCCCCCACACCCCAAAAGAAAATTAACTTACTTGGCTTTAAATTACAAATTTGATCAACTGCTCTCAAACTAGCATCGTCAGCTAGTGTTAATACGTGCTCTAAATCCACAACAACTCTGTTGTTAGAGCACCCTTCATAAACCTGGTGCACCACTCCAACCACCACCACTCCGTTTGCCCCATTTATTTCTTTTAAATTAAATCCCGCAACTCTTTAATCGAATTACAAAAGCAATTAATGTCACAATGAATCATGCAAGCCATTACTCAGACGTACGCTTTATTAAATAATAATTTTCTGTTCGTAGCCCTCTTTGTGAAACGTCAATCACTACTTAAAACACAGCTGTTTAATTTCCAATTGATTGAGTCACCCTGTGTAAACAACACGAGCTCTTATTTTATGTAACTACAGTATATACCCCCAGGACCCCGATGAATTATAGCCGGTAAAAGTTTTATATTGAATGCGATTATTATAAGACGATAAATCATGATCGGTTTAAAGAAAGTGTTGGAACTAGTTGAACACCGCAAAAATCAACGAGGAAGCGAACTATTACTCTAAATGTCGCTTTGTTGCAGGATCTTCGAATCGAAAGGTGGAAATCGCCAGGCCGAAAAGGATAACGGATCTGCCAGATAAGCTTCTCATGTCCGGAATCAATTTGCCAGGTAATTTAGACGTTAATTTTGGCAGGGACCGGTCGGTCTTCACATGTTGAGACATAACTCACAAAAAGTAGTAATTATAGTGCAATTACTTGACCATTAAGGTGTATAAAAGTGAGTTGCACCTGTGGAATTTCTCTTTGGGGCTAGCAGGATTTGAGGACCACACATTGCAGGTATCAAGCGCGAGTAAACGAGATCGTAAACACACTTATCTGAAAGAAAAAGTGTATTACAATTTTTTGCGTTATTACGTTTACTATGTGAAGACCAAGTGCATGAAATATGCAGGAAGTGTTATTGCGTCATGCTCATGATTGTCGTAAGGGCCTAAATTTTAGAATGCAATGTCATGAATCTACAATAATTATATAACATTATACATTAGGTAGAAAGCAATCTAATAAGTGTAAACTCGTTTTGTTTTTGCTTACCGAGCAGTAGCGAATTTGTTTGTTGCAGACGAGGAGTTGACTGCAGTCTTTTGTCGCTGAATATGATTTAGTGATAGTAACGTATTGGTAATGACAAATTATGAAATCAAACGTTTGTTGTGTTAGCGTATTTTGTAACAATGCAGACGGCAGTTAAATTCAAAAGCTTTGTAATCTGTGTGCTGAAACGTATCGACTAATTTAAAAAACAAAGGACATTTTTTTCGCAGTGTTTATTGTTTATTTTGTCTGGTTATCGGTATGCCTACGCTGTGCTTTTTCGCTCCCCTTGTCCAACATTTATCGGCATAAAGCTTACTCGCTTCATATTTTTATAAAAGGTTTTTTGTTTAGCTTATTACATTTTTAAAAAAATACATAACGAACATAATGAATACGACAGAACTTTTGTACAACCAATTTTTTCTTAAATGAACATATTTATATTTTATTGTACGAAAGTCAAAAATGGCAGAATATTTTGTCATTAGCTGATATTTAATAATTATACTACAGTACTTAGTAGAACACATTTTCATTTTCACTTCCAGTTTAGCCGCAAAATCGGGACGAAGTCATTCTTATTTTTTTAACAAAATACCTTGTACATCTTTTCATTTTGATTAAGACAGAGTTTCTCTCGCCTTTGAAGCATAGTAAACAAATCCATTTGCTTAGATAAATTAGAAAATTTGCACCTGCGAATTAATAAAAGACATGGATGCTTTGATAACCAACAAGTGAAGGCACACAAAATTTTACCTAGTAAAATTTTAAGATGACTTCACCAAGTTATTGCTGGGGACGATTAGATTTATTTGATTAGCGTTTTAACGTCTACACGATATTTTCCTAAGATACGTATCAAATTTCGCAACAATCAGTCTGGTTGGCTGTTTCGGGGATTATAATGTCTAATAAAATTGCAAACAGACAGATAGACGGAAACGTGAGACTTAATTTTTCATATTCCTTTGCTTTGACGAGATTTTCTTCTCGAATTTTCCTGCTTAGGGTATAGACTTTCTCGGGATTCTCTTTCTCGAGATTCTTTTTCTCGGGGTTCTTCGTCTTGAGCTTCTTCCTCTCGAGCTTCATTTTCTCGAGTTTCTCCTTGCCCAGATTCTTTTTCTCGGAATTTTCATTCTCTAGATTGCGGCTTGGGATTTTCTTTCCTTGGGATTCCTTTTCTGGGGATTCCTTTTCAGGGGATTCTCTTTCTTGGAATTTATTTTCTTGGGATTCCCTTCCTACGGGTTGCCTTGCCCGTGAATTCCTGTCTCGAGGTTCCCTTTATCGTGATTCCGTCGCTCATGAATCCCTTTCTCGAGTTTCTCTTTCTCGGGATTCACGTTCTCGGCATTCCCTTTCTTGGCATTTCCTTTCTCGCCATTCTCTTTCTTGGGATTTCTTTTTTCGGGATTCCCATTCTAGGATTTTTTTGTCTCTGGATTCCCTTTTTCGAAATTCCCATTCTCTAGATTCCCTTTCTCGGAATTCTCTTTCACAAAATTCTTTTTTTCTGAGTTCCCGTCGTAATAGTTTCCTTTTTCAGGGTTCCCATTCTAGGAATTTCCTTTTTCGGGATTGCTTTTTCCGGGATCCCCTTTCTCGTGTTTTACTTTCTCAAGTGATTACTTCTGTCTCAGGATTCTCTACCTCGGGATTCCCTCTTCATGGGATTTCCTTTTTCGAGATTCTTTTTTTCGGGATTCCCTTTCTTGGGATTCCGTTTTTCTTCGGGGTTCCCGTTTCAGGAATCTCCTTTCTCGGGATTTCTTTTTACGGGATTCTCTTCCAACGGATTCCTTTTTTCAGGGTTTCCGTTCTAGGAATTTTGTTTCTCGGAATTTTCTCTCTCGGAATTCTCCCTTTCGGGAATTCCTCTCTCGGGATTCGCATTCACGGGATTCCATTTCTCTCGTAATTTCCTCTTGCATTAGAGTCTCTCTCTCAGGATTCTTTTCCTTTGGATTTCCTTCCTCGGGCTTCCCGTACTAGAAACTTCCTGTTTCGAGATTACTGTTCACAGGATTGTCTTTTTCGGGATTCCCTTTCTAGTGATTTATTTTCTCTCATGAGAGTGCCGCTCCCGATTCTATTCATTTTAGGAAATCTTCTCAGAATTCCCTTTCCCGGGATTGCTTTCCTCGGCATTCCCTTTCTGGATTAAGAGGATTACCTTTCTCGCGATTCCGTTTTTCAGGGCTCTCCTTCTAGAAATTTCGTTTCTCGGCATTCTCCCTCTCGCAGAATTCCCGTTTTAGGAATTTCCTTTCTCGGAATCCAGTTCTTCGAGATTCTCTGTTTAGGCTTTCCCTTTCTCATAATTCCATTCTTTCGGGATTCCCGTTTTCGGAATGCCCTTTCTCTGGATTCCTTTCCTCGGGATTCCCTTTCGCAAAATTCTCTTTTTCTGGGTTCTCGTTCTAGTAATTTCCTTCTTCAGTGTTCCCGTTTTAGGAATTTCCTTCCTCAGGATTGCGTTTTCCGGGATCGCTTTCCCGTGAGTTACTTTCTCTCGTGATTCCCTCTCTCAGCAGAATCTCTCTGTGTGTCAGGATTCTCTTCCTTGGGATTCCTTTTCTTGCGATTCCCTCTTCACGAGATTTCCTTTGTCGATATTTCTTTTTTCGGGATTCCCTTTTTTGGTATTCCGTTTTTCGGGATTTCTTTTCCAGGAATAACCCTTCTCGGGATCCTTTTTTCGGGATTCTTTTTGTACGGATTCCGTTCTTCAGGGTTCCCGTTCTAGGAATTTCGTTTCTGGGAATTTTCGGCCAAAGAATTCCCTCTCTCAGGATTCCATTTCTCTCGTAATTTCCTCTCGAATCAAAGTCTCTCTCTCTCTCAAAGGATTCTCTTTCTCGGAATTTTCTTTCTAGCGATTCCCTCTACGAACTTCATGTCTCGAGATTACTGTTCTCAGGATTGCCTTTTCCGAGGTCCCCTTTCTAGTGATTTATTTTCTGTTGTGAGAGTTGCTCTCAGAATTCCTTTCCTTTTAGGATTCTTTATCTCAGGATTCCCATTCTAGGAATTTCCTTTCTCGGGATTCCTTTTTTCGGGGCTCTCCTTGTAGAAATTTCGTTTCCCGGCATTCTGCCTGTCTCAGGATTCCCGTTCTAGGAATTTCCTTTCTCGGAATTCATTTTTTCGAGATTCTCTGTCTAGGGTTTTCCTTTCTCAGAATTCTCTTTTTCAGGGTTCTCGTTCTAGTAATTTCCTTTTACAGTGTTCCCGTTTTAGGAATTTCCTTCCTGGGGAATATTTTTCTCGGGATTGCCTCTTTCGAGATCCTCATTCTCGTGATTCACTTTCCCTCCTGATTGCGTCTCTCATCAGAGTCTCTCTTTCTCAGTATTCTTTTTCTCGGGATTCCCTTTCATGGGATTCCTTCGCCACGGAAGGTCCTTTTTCGGGACTCCCTTTTTTGGGATTCCGTTTTTCGGGGTTTCCGTTCCAGGAATCTCCTTTCTCGGGATTCCTTTTTTCGGGATTTTCTCTATGTATCCCCATTTTCAGGATTCCCGTGCTAGGAATTTTGTTTCTCGGAATTTTCTCTCCCTCTCTCAGGATTCCCACTCTCGGGATACCCATTCTCAGGATTCCCATTCGGGGAATTCACTTCTCTCGTAATTCCCTCTCGAATCAGAGCCTCTCTCATCAGAGTCTCTCTCTCCGGATTCTCTTCCTCGGGATTTTCTTTTTCAGAATTCCTTTTTTCGGGCTTCCTGTTCTAGTGATTTATTTTCTCTCGTGAGAGATTCTCTTTCTCAGGATTCCCTTTCTCGGGATTCCTTTTCTCGGGATGACTATCTCGTTGCTGTAATAAAATTAAATTAAAAAAATGGTTATTCAGTCAGAACTTCTCTCGCCCCTGAACAAAACATCCTATTGTTTAGAGAAATTATTATTATAAAATTTACATCAGCGAATACGAAGACATGGATGTTTTGATATGTTATAAGTACAAGAACATAATATTTTGTACCTTTTAGATGGGATTTACCTAGTAAAGTTTTCAGATGATTAGATCAATTCAATTTTGATTGAGGTTTTAACGTCTTCACGACGTTTCTAAAATATCTATAAAATTTCACAACAATCAATCCAGTAGTTTCGGAGATTGTAATAATGCAATAAAATCGTCAACGGACAGATACACGGAAACGTGGGACATAATTGTTCATATTCTTTCGCTTCGAGGCGATTTTTTGCTAGTCTATTCTAGGACAGGTAATGTTGTAGTGAAAAAATTTAAATTGTTGCTTGTTAAAATGGCCAAAACTGATTAGACTTGAGATAGATAGGGTCGAATAAGTAAACTTAAGCTTTTAAAAAACGGCCAAAAAATGCTACAAAAGCGGAAAAAAGGGGACCAAAAAAAGGCGATTAAAAAGGCAACAAAAAGTATATAAAAGAGGCGACGAACAAACTGCAACAATAACGAGAAAAAAGGGAATATAAAAAACGCGACAAAAATGACGTCAAATAAATATTTAAAAAAGGGAACAAAACAACAACAAAAGAGGACCCAGAATAAAGCCGCAACAAAAAAGCAGCCAA